TATAATGGTAGAGAGTGTAGAGGGAGGAATCCCGAAATTCTCTGCAATGTCTTTCTTCTTCAGCTGGCCTTCTTCGACAGTCCGAATCAAGTGCACCTTCTCTTCGAGCGTCAGAGTCTTCAATTTCCTCTTGAGTGAACTCATTCCACACAAATGGCATAAAGGAAGTAGAATATGACTAGAATGGCTCGGAGTGAGAGCGATAAATAGACAGAGCGAATGTTGGAGGTTGCTTTTTTTATAGCCGAAGCTTTTCGGTTTTAATCCTCAGGCTTAATCCTCTCCACAGGCATCTGTGTGGGAGGAGGGGGAAGCAGAAAAAAAAAACAAAAGAACATCCTCCCGAACGGGTTTCTTGTCATTCATCCTATTCAAAAATTGAAAAGTCCCACAAGAAGAATTTTTCCCCCCTTCAAACCCTGAATTCGAGTTAACCATGAGAAAATCGTTATCAGGAGTGAAAATGTCAGTCAAGATATCCAGAAATTTGTGATAAGTGAATTTGAGTTAAACGGAACATTTAACATGGTGTCCTATGGGGTTCCGCTGGGACCAAGCATTCAAGTTTGAGATAAGTGGAATTTTGACTTATCAGGATTCGAGTTAACGAGTTTTCATTGTAAAAAAAAATTAAGGCCGAAAAATGATGCATCCTTTTCTATTGGGACACAAAGACTCGAACCACTACTCCCTCTTCTTGTCAGGCTTGCCTTGACACTTTTGTACTCATTAGTCAGAGGAGTGGGCCTCAATGAAGTGGTATTTCTTGAAGAGGGAACAAAATGTTTGAATTCTGCTGTGCTTGTGAAAACATGCTGGAAAAAGTTGCCAATGATCATTTTTCATTGAGAAAATGGATACCTGCTTTAAGATCTTAATTTCCAGGGCAAGAAATGGTGGCAAGAGGATATTTGGTATTCTTATAAGCGTGAGATGATGTTTGTGAGGAATGAACCAGTTCTTACTCCTTATATCTCTTCCCAGGAATGGCTTTTGAGAACATATTTAAAAATACTATTGGGGATCTATTTTTTCTTGTGGCAGTAATGGCACTGTCAAAGGACCATTCTGTGAGCTTTGATTTGTCTTTTCATTATTTATCTTTCCATTTCCAATAACATGTCTACCATTACTGAATTATGCTATACAATGGCAATGCATTGTCTGTTTCAATTTGAAGTTTGGACTTTAGAACTGCATTTGATGCACTTTGTTCATTTTCTTTGAATAATTTCTCTAGGCAAGGGAGGAAAAAAGGGAGCTATTGAAAAGTGCCCTAATTGTCGAGGAACTGGAATGCAAGTGCGCATCCAGCAACTTGGACCTGGTATGGTGCAGCAGATCCAAAGTATGTGTGGTGAATGTGGAGGGCAAGGTGAAAGGATCAACCCACGGGACCGGTGCAAGAAATGTGAAGGACGAAAGGTTGTGCGTGAGAGGAAGATCTTGGAAGTACACATTGACAAGGGAATGAGGGATGGCCAGAAAATCACTTTTGCTGGTGAAGGAGACCAAGATCCAGGGCTGGAACCTGGAGACATTGTAATTGTCCTTGATGAAAAGGAAAATGAGACCTTCAAGTGCGTTTCATTTCACTTGCTGAATCATACTGTGTCTTGTTATATTGTGACTGCAAATTTTTATCTATTTTCTGCTGTTTTCCTCTTCTTTTTTCTTGTCATGAGTGGCATAGACATTTCAGGAGCTTACATTATGGGAAATTCATGATCTATGCTTCTAGTAGTTTCTATTCACATTTAATATCTTTCTCTGATTTGGTTTTTCTTCTTTAAATAGTGTTAGCTGCAGAAGATTTAAGATGAGGGTCATCACCCCATATCACTCCATCAGGGACTCATTTGTTACTATTGACAATGCCCTAACCTTATATTGTAGACCATGCCAGGTCATTTTCTCAAGAGTGACAACAAAGCTGTTGCTATGCCTATCGATGAATCTCTCCTTTTATTTTGAACTTATTGCATGTTATAGGCGAGCATTATGAAGTATGTGCAAACCTACTTGCATTAACTCTTCTCTAGTTTGATTGCCAGCAACTTTTAATGGGTACATGGCAAAATTAACTGGTATTTTTTTAAGTCTCCCTCTGAAATTTTTTTGCATTTTTTTAAAGCTGAAAGTGAATCCAATCCTACCAAATTTTTGTAACTTGTTCAAAAGACAGTATAGCAGTTTTATTATCAAACTATAAAAAAAGGTGTTTATGGATTCCTCTTTGTTTCACGTGATATGATTCCTTTGTTTTGTAAGACAAAGTTGTAACTTAGGGAATGTCTCATTACACATTTTGTTCATGAGTATGACATATATAAAGTCACTGTGATGCCCCATCTTAGAGATTTTAGCCATATCATCTAACATTAAGGCTGGACATCCTTTGGGGAAGTTGGAGTTATAATGTTCTTACTTTGTCTTGCAACAGGCGCACTCACGATGATCTTATCATGCGGATGAACATTGAATTGGTTGAAGCATTGTGTGGACTCCAGAAGACCATCCAGACACTTGACAAGCGAACTCTTGTCATCGCCACAATCCCAGGTAAAGAATGAGACTTGTCTGGATTCAAGGGACTGTTAGTAGTGTCTCTGTGAGTATATCATTGGTCTAATTTGTTTATGCCCATGCACAGGGGAGGTTATAAAGCACAATGATGTGAAGATGATCATGGGAGAGGGAATGCCCCAGTATAAGAATCCATTTGAGAAAGGACGACTCATCATTCAATTTTCGGTCGATTTCCCTGCTTCACTTCCACCTGAGGTCATCCCAAAACTTCAGGAAGCACTTCCTCCAAGGTGAGATTGCCACTCATCCAAGGTTGAAGTTTTTAAAAAGTGTACCTCATTGTAATGAAGGAATTTTAATTGAAGTTAGTTTTATCTCGAGCATTTAGAATACAATGCATGATGGTCTATTTTTTTTTCTTCAAAGAAATGGATTCAAAGTCTTATATTTAATGGAGTGTTAAAGTGTGAATAACAAGGTTATTTAGGCTATTTGCCCTGTTTTCATGTGCCTCATGGTGTCAGATGCAACTCCTATATTTCATCTGAATTTGAACGCAAGAAAGATTTTTGTCTAATTTGCTGAGGAGGTAACAGGAGGAGTTAAGACTGTGATGGAATTAGACTGGAACTTTATTCCATACATATTCATCTATTTTGATCTCTGAATTTCCTGATTACTCATAGCCTTTCTAGAGCAGAACATGTTTAGATTAGCTTTTATTTCAACTTTTGACAAGTCAGTGTGTGCAAAGGAGAAATGCCTCTGGTAAAAGGAGGTATTTGCTTCAAAGTTGGAGTTTTTTCTGCCATATTTTGTATGTATCAATGCATTCTATCACCACCAGGATCCCTTCCTGCACACCAGTGAAGCATAGTAGTCTTTCAGCCACATAAACAAATGACAGGATATTATGTGTTCAATATGATAAGAGGTGATGGATCTGCCTGATAGCACTGTGGTGTACGTTAATTGGAGTCATGTTCCTTTAGGCCCGAGGAATTGATTCCTGACGCCGCAGAGGAGTGCACGATGGTAGATTTGGACCCTGACCAGGAGGCACGAAGACAGCACTACAAGAATGTCTATGACGAGGATGAAGAACAGATGCATGGGCAGCGTGTCCAATGTGCCGCTCACTGACTATTATTTCCTCCATTGCACCTTTTTGTCTTAGGGCATTCATTCATTCATTCCTGTTCTCATCCCTTTGTTCTCCTTCTGTCATACCTCAAAAGACTTTTGCTTCAGCCCTTCCCCTCCTAGCAACCAAGCTGATTCTCATGAGAATGATTTTTGGAGTTTTCTCCTCCTGTGGACACCTTGTGGAATCAATAGTGTACTCTGAGTCTCTCATATCAGCAGGAATAAACATTCAAAGTTGCACATCTTTGCACAGACGATCCCCATGATTTCATATTATGGTTGCCAATCTGAACACTGAATCTGAAGGTCAGATGGTCTTATACAATCTCATGCTTGATGCTCTCATGCTCTTCTTGTGCCATTCTTTCCAGAATTTCAGACTTCATCTGCCAGATTTAGAAAGAAAATTGAGCCTATTGAAAGTCTGTGAAGTTATAAAATTTTAATACGTAAGACAATTGATCAGATGAAAACATTTATTAGCAACCTCCTACGTTTTTATATAAGCTTTTCAGGGATAATGTCAATGGATACACTTGTCAATCGTGAATGGAAGTCAAACCATCTGAGGTAGGAGTATATCTGAGAAAATCAGGCATTGCAAGAACCCCTTTCTGATAACTCAGCAGCGTGATACAATTGGGTGCTTGGGTCATGGGGTTGGGAGCTGAGAGGTCATTGATTTGGAAATGCAAACAATGAAGAAACTCTTCAAGTGTGGGATTATGTAGAACGTTAAATTAATTTGTTTCAATGAAAAGTTATATATATATATTTTTTTTTTACAATTGTTACTCCGAGAGGTGCTTGACCTGCTCCAGACTTAGCATGCACCAGGCCGGTCTAGCTTTAAGTAATTTCATAATGGGAATGAGTTTCACTGGATCAATTCCATTTTCATGCACGTACGTAATAAAATCAGACCAGATGTACAAGGTGGACGGGAAGTCCCTTTACCACTGATTAAATTACGTGTTCATCGGGTCTGTAAGGCACTGTTGTTGTCTTGGAAAAAGATGCGTTAAGTCCTGTGCGATACCCCTAGCGGCATGGTGCGAGTAATCGTCGTAAATGCTGCCAGATATGCGGCCCGTAAATCCTCAGTCGTCACAAGGACGGTGACACATAATTACTTCTGGGTAAGGGGACTTCCCTGTACCTTGTACGTTAAGCAGGTGCGGTTCATGTCGTACTTGAACTGAGACAGTAGGTGTTCCCGACGGACGTACGATAGCAGTGACGTCCTAGGACATGGCGTCATACTGTATCTGCCTGTGGATTTCGGTGCCTTCTCTCAGAGGTCCAACGTGATTCCAATGATGTCGGGACACCAGAAAACGAAAGTCAAACTAGGAGGGAAGAGAATAGATTCCCCTCTGGCCAAATATCCTTTTCTGCAGCCCATTAGATTTATAATGATTTCAATTTCAAGTCGTACCATTTTTAACCTGGGTCGAAGTTAAATGTATTGTATCTGCCGAATGCCGGTAGAGTCGGCATTGGCAATGCCAAAAGTGGTACGGATTTAGAGTAAAGTACTGCACGTTAGCCTAGTTTAACCTGCCATGTCACAATCTTGCCTGTAAGGTTTCGCGTTAAGACATGCCGAGGTCAATATGTTTGCCACGTTAAGGCCTATGGATCCCATTCCGATAATGCTTTTGGAATTGAATCAGTGTTATTTTAGTCAATTAAAGCCATTTAGTAAGTTGACGACTAGTAATTGAGAGGTGATGCAAACACACCTTGTAGGACCAATCTATGCACCTTGGAGTCAAAATTCCTGCTTTATCAAACGAGAGAGTAAGGGGTACACTGAAATCTCTGGTATTAATAATTAAATTTCATTGCCTGGCCAAAGGCTTTTTTGTGTCATCATTTACAGTGTTTTTCACTTGAGTTAGACACTTTTTAACTTGACTTCAACACCCATGCATGAGGAATGTCCCATGCACATGAGTCTGAGTCAAGTGAAAAATTGTCTAACTCAAGTGAAAAACACTATGTAGTTTAGACTACTCAAATGACATTGTAGTGGATACCTCCTTAACCCAGAAACCTTTCTGATGTCGGTGTACGTATAATGCCACTGGTCAGCTGTCATGCATCTTGTGTCAAACACCATTAAAAAGTGAGCTTGTGTGGACAGCACATGTGAATGGCAAGACTCATCGACTACATCTTGAAAAGCTCAAGAGTCAGAAAGAGAAACTAGTAGCAGAAAAGAGATCTGCTACAAACAAACATCCAGGGGAAAATGAACCTCCTAAGAAGGTCTCTAGACTGGCACAAAAGTGTAATTCTGTGAAAGTTCCTGTGACCAAGAACACTGCCTCTGAACAAAGAGATACCCATAGAGATCCTGGAAATGATTTGGGACACCATAAAGCATTGGGGAGAGAAGATGAAGGAGGAGAGAAGATGGAAGTGTCAAGGGCATCCTCTGTTTCGCTGCCACCTCATTCACCGCCACTTGCTTCAGAGAAGCCTAAACTGGAAGAACCTGGTCCAAGCTCTTCAATTCCAGAAGGCTTCTTTGATGACCCTGTACAAGATGCAAAGGTAGGCCTATGATATGAGAGTTTGGAGACTCACAGTTTTGTACATTTTTTATTTTCCAATTGAATTTCTTTTTTGACAAGCACAAGGTCAAAGGCCCATGTCTTACAGACAGCTTCTGTGCCTAAGAGTTTAAACAATTTTACAGAGTGCAAAATGTCGAAGACAGATGTTTCAGCCCATAGCTATGATGGGAAGTTTTGTGAGAACATGACAATGAAATATTTTGATATGAAGATTATTATATAAATAAATAATAATTTTGTTAAGGAATTTGAATGGTTTTATACAGTAGCCTGGATAGTAGAAGTCTCATTTTTATCTATTTTTTCACTCATTGAATCCATCCTTTGAAAACACAAAGTGTTGTGGTCTTTTATGGCTTTATTTACTGTTTTAACCTATTTATTAATGAAAAACATACCTGAAATTTTCTTGTTACACAGGCCTGATAAGATACCAGTACAGAAAGTCTTTTATTGGAAGTTAATGACTACTCACAGTATTTCAGCCAATTCCCATTGTGGACTAATGGGAGCATATGATTTCCATACATTTTAATTTTGTGCAGGAATTTGAATTATTTTGCACAGTGGCATCTTGAATGCTGTGAAATGTTTCACAGGAAAAACTTCCATTTGTTGAATCTGAATTGCCAAGGTTGGATTTCTGTTCATTTTTGTGGCAGTATGAAGCTTTCTAGTCTGTGTCAATAACAAAACTTGATTATTTTCATTGTGTTATGCACACAGGCCCGAAAAGTTGAGTACAAAGATCCAATGGATGAGGAATGGGCAAGATTCCAACGACTGATCAAAGAGGAGACTGTTGTCAGCTCACAACTTATGGAGGTGGAGGATGAAGAAGTTGCTGCTGATAGAGATCTTGAAGAAATAGATACTCAACTCTCAAACTGGCAGAGGTAAGCCAAGTTAATCTGGGTACAATACCAGCATTGATAATTGATTGTATCATGGCTTCAAAATGATTCAAGTATGATGTTTGGTTTGAGCACTCCAGGTTATTTGGGCTTTTTTATGATACAACCTCATGAATTCCCTTTGTCATGTTTGATAAATTGTTGAATCTTATTCAGTTTTGACTATCTGATTTTGGTTGGGAGTTTGATGTTGAGCAGACTGAAGACATTTTGTCGAAGAAAGGCTCAAGATTCAATTTTCACTGTTTTCCCATACTGAAAAATCCGACATGTTTTTATGAGAAATTGGAGTATATGATATATGACATTTGGTCCATCATATTTTGTAATGTATGAACATGTATGGTGGAAAATATATGACCATATCCTCTTATTGAAATGATGAATATATAATCATATTCATGTTTGAAATGACATTCTTCAAGTGCCCCCCATTTTCGTTGAAACACTCCCTACATCAAACTAAAACAATGGTCATTACTGTTCATGAAGTGTCTCTGTGAATGGAAGCAATGACTTATTTTATTCTGTTCTTCAGATCCTCAGTACACCTAGGTTTTGTGTGCTACACATTGTTCTTAAGGTAGCCCAAAGTAAAAAAAAATCAGAGGCTGTCCAATCTGGCAAGCATGCTGGCCATGGGCCAAGCACCAAAATGTGAAAGTAATCCATCACCAAAATGTTCTTGCCATTTCAGAACTATGCCTTAGACACATCAACCTAGACAACGTCTGATTCCAACAAGATTGTGGAACCAGTCATATATCTCTCATTGTCACATATTTCTTTTTGGATCAATTCATTTTGCACTTCAGTGCTGTCCCATGACCTGCACACTCACCAGATTTAACAGCCCCTGATTTTTTTTAATTTGGGGCTACTTTAAGACCAATGTGTATCACACTAAACCTAGGTGTACTGAGGATCTGAAGAATAGAATTAGAGGAGTTGTTGCATTCTTTTCACAGAGAACTGTTACAAGCAGGAATGAATAATGTTTTAGTTCAATGCAAGGAATGTCTCCATGATAAAGGGGAGCATTTGAAGAATGTCATATTCCAAACATGAAAAGTCCCCATGTAAATTTCAGTTTTTGTAACTGAATTTCCAAAGATCCTGTTACTTTAGTTCCAATTTTCATGCCTTTTTGTATTACCATTCTTGAGTTATTGTCAAATAAATTTTTCAGACTTTCTTGGAACACCCTGTATAGAGAAAAAAGATCTTACCCTGATATGTTTAATGTATGAATAAGCCTTGAATAGGATTCTGTTCTTCCCCTTGTGACTGGGATTAGACTGGAGATCCTTGGCAGATCCAGTCAAGCTCTTGTTACTTTTCTTTTGCCAACAGCATCACTCAAATATGTCGTTTTTCCTGATGTCAGGGCATAATGTGGAGAACCTTGAGATGGTATTCTCTTCATAAGATTGACATCTGCTGGGTACCTTGTTATTGAAGCAGATTGTATGATTGGCTAGAAATGACGAAAATCTAACTACAATTCTCATTTCTCTTTGGTTCTGAGAGAAGCAGGTGATAATGCTTGCTTTTTACATCACACAGAATCCTAGTCCTGATGGATTTGATTCATTTACATATAAAGAGGATGGTGGCTTAACCCTTAATTACTCGTGCTGGTGTATTTCATACACCATTCACAGTTATTTTCGTCCCCTATCTGTTTACGTGATCGTACAGGCAGCATCCGCCTTTGACTTTGTCTGCAAAGAACATTCAAAAACTGATGTGAAATGTGATACATGTGCACATCCTACAACGGACGAAAGTAACTAGAGCAGAACTGGCTGGGTTTGTATGTAATTTCATACCATATTACTGAATAAATACTGTCTATATACACTGGTGTATAAAGTACACCATGCGAGTAGTTATGACATGAGACAGGGCGCGAGTAGTTGAGGGTTAAGAGTTGAGGAGCAAGGTCAGCTACCTTGAGGCTTGATAGAAATCTATTTACATTGCAGGCATATAGCACATATTGTTGATAAAAAATTTTAAAAATAATCTGCCCAATTTTCATACTCGTTCTCAAGAGCTACTCAAATTATTCAAATATTTGACTACTGGTACTAGCATGTAAGTTCTTGCATACTTGAGTACTATGCTTTATGGAAATGAAGGGCAAGGGTACATTGAGTTAAACATGTCACAAAGAATTTCTTGTTGATGGATTTGATATTTTAAGCTTGAATAGAATCCTGACTGATTGACCAAAGAAAAAATTTGTTAACCTAATGAGTTGTTGTTGGTTGTCATGTGTCAAGATGAGAAGAAAATTTAATTCATTTTGAATGTATGTAGGAACTGATGATGTTGCTAGGTCTTGGCTTCTTGTTTTCTTTGTTGGACTCCATTGCAAATGTACCAAAATTTGCACCTCCATGTTATACATCTGTGCATGTTAGGAAGTAAAATGTGTTTTTAAAGAGTGAGACAGTGCAATGTTTTTCCTGAAAGATTTCCACTTCAATATTTTCTATTGACTACAGGGAAATGTTATGTCAAACTGGAAGTACTGTTTGTTGAGTAAAAGCTAGTGAGACAAAAAACTTTTGCTTTAAAATATTTCATTATCAGTGCAGGTACTGGTATTTATATGTGTCATATGCACATTGATCCTGTTGTGCAAGTTAAACTTGCATGGTAATTCATCATGCAAGTTGAACTTGCACGACCAAATCGTCCTGGGTTAACTTGAACAGTCCATCATAGTGTGCAGGTTGAACTTGCATGGGGAAAGCCTTGTTCATGTTAACCTGAATAGCACATTTTCGTGCAAGTTCAGAAAAGCACTTCATCTTGGTCAAAATAATGATCTTATGCCATTGGCTATCAGAACTTGCTTTATTCTCAAGCCAGCATGTCAAACACCATGAAATGAATAAGTTGATCACCCTTATTAATAAAATGAAGAAACTCCTTAATGATGTCAAATTGTCCATAAGTAAAGAATCTGCAGCAACTTTGTCAATGCTTGCATACAAGCCTTTCTTTTATGTACACCCTTTTGATTTTTATTCATTTGTTGGAACATGTCTATCGTTGTGGCATCAAAAGTTGCACTGGGTATTGTTAGCTACGCACTTGCACCATTTTTTTTTAGATGCATCGTTCACAATGGTGTATTTTACACCAGTGGGACAGCTACCCCCCTGACACCCTCTTGGAGATAATTTTCTCCCTGATATTGCTAGAGTGGGGTTTGTTGTCCCCTCTCTGTTACCCTGCCTCCCCCCCCAACCCTTCAGCCAAAATGCACCACTGATTGTTCGCTTTCCTCACAAGCTTCTCTTCATCCCTTGAAGACTAGGATGGTATTTCTGCTCTTCAGCAGGGCTTTCTTCTCATTGATCTTTGCAACTTTGACCTCCTCAATGAGCCTCTCATAACCTGTCTATCGGGAACACTGGGTTGTTGGGAGACTTAGTCTTCTCATAGAGCCCCAACAGATAATCATTGAACTGGGCTTCCATGCCCATTATCTTGGATTTGAAGGCAGATTAATTAGACGGAAACCACAAGAGCTATTGAAGAACGAGAACGTTCACTCTCACTTGTATCACACTGAACAAGTTGAGAGAATGTGGCTGTCGGTGAAAGCAAAAGGATGAAGGTACCTCCCTTATAGTTTTCCCAAAGCCAGGCGCACTAATTGTATTCTCAATAAAAGTTGTCTAACTGTATATCCTTAGGGGTCTAGATATCCCTCCTGAACTTGGACAAAAGTTCATTGTGTGGATTAACTTGCATAAGAAAGAATACATACAAGTTAACATGCATGAGGAAAATCAGACGGATTCAAGTTGCATGGTATATTTTATGCAAGTTCAACTTGCCCAGAAAGGTTAACTTTCATATGACATATGCATTTTGCTTAACTAAACATCAATTTTTGAATAAAATAAATGTTGAATAGATTTTCATATGACTGACAAAACATTAATTATTATTTTCATTTTATGAACTTAGTCAATTTCATTGGTTTGAAAATGTATTAAATCAATCGAGAATCACTGTGGCACGGTTAATCTGTTGATGACTTACCCAGGAGCTGCTCAACATCAAAAAATAAATAAACTTTTTTTAACATGAGAAACAAATAAATGTTTAATTGGCATACAGACTCCTGGACATGTCTTGTTTAATCTCCTATGTGGAGAGTTTTCGATCCTCAAGTTTACCACTGATAGAGTTTTTTTCCAGTAAAGTAGATTGATTTGTGTTTTCACCATTTTTCCAGGTAACATTCATATTATTATATTGCAGTTGAATATTATTGGTATGGATAAAGTGATAAAATACTGAAACATGACAATTACTGTAGGGTTGCTGAATTGGAGAAGAAGAAGGACAAGTTAGTGGAGAAGAAAGTGCAACAAGAGTCAAGGCAAGATGATGCAGATGAGTCTGGTGATGATGAACTTGAAGATCTGGACAGGTTGGACTGGAGGAGGAAGTGTCTGTGATCATTTGTTTCCATGATACAGTTGGCTTTGGAAGCTCATGGGTGACTTTGAGTCATGTTTTATACACACACACATATTTTCGCAGCAAGGAATATTGGTTGCTAATAGGTTTCACAAAAGTGGAGGATGGTCAGTTTGCTTGGGTAATCAAACTTCTTCGAAAGAATCATTGCTGAATGTAAACAAAAGAAGTGTAGACAAAAGAGTGCATCACACTGCAGCATTTTATTGGTACAACTCATTCCATGATTTGTCAATAATAACCATTAAGAAATGCTGAGTTGTAGGAGACTGCAGTTGTAGTCGAAGCATGCTAAGCTTGTTCCAATTCATACTGGCATTCAATTGTTTCATTTCAACCTGGAGATTCCATTCCAGCATTCCTATCTTCATCACCTCGTGTATTATTTTTTGGTTGGTTGGAAAACAGTATTATTGAGAAGAATAAGTTCTCTAATGAATTGAGGTCTTTATTCCAACTTAGGAGGCTTTTAATCTGTGGTGATATGATTATGCAGTTACATTATTTCAAGTTAGAGTATTCATGTTTTAGGGATTAGGCAAAACAGCTTCAACAATAATTGTATTATCTTCAGTCACTGCCACTGGTGCATGTAAACTGAAGGCTAAATTTGGGAGCAGTCAGCAAATGCCAGACTACATCATGGTCATTCCTGTGAGGTGACTTGACTCATTCAAGCATGGACACAGATTCATACTGTTGGGTGTTAGTCTAATTTTTCTTTATGAAATGCATTGGTGGCAACATTTCTCGTTCAGCGGCAGCTCATGAGAAAATAAGAATTTATTTGCAACACAGGTTTCACTTCAGCATCAGCATTCCTGTCAAACTGAATTTTGATAAAATATGAAAATGAAATCATGAGTTTCTCGGAAGAGCACACGCAAGTTGGGTAAAACCGCTACACTAAAACATTAGGTTTGAGTTACAGTGTTTCACCCAACTCGAATTCTTAAGCTTGTTTGCTTGTCCTTAGCTATTGAGTGTTTGCGCCTCGTTTTGAATAGTTTTTTTTTTTTTTAACCCCCGTGCCCAACTGAGAGAGGGAATGGAATAAAGAGGTCAATCAGGATTTTACCTATAAAATTCTCCAAGTAACAAGACCAAGAGCGTGCCTGCCTCTATTCTATGAATGGGAAGCTCATCCAATATGCCGACACTTGCTCCACGTTTGGAATGCGGCGCTTTTCCCGTTATATCCGACTGAATTTAAAAATATAAAAAAATAAGCAGTGTATCAAAATGCCAAATATCCCCAATTATGAATGAGCACGCCTTCCTGGGACCCTTTGTTTACGGGGAATCTCCGGTGAATCATTCCGGGTTCGTCATTGGAGAATCACACGATGACGTTTAGACAAGTCGAATCGGGATAGGTGGAACGGAGCGAGGACGTCATGTCCAGCCCAGCAACGCGAAGATGACGTGAGATGCGGATTCCGTGTTTCAGTCAGCTGTGATCCTTTCAGCGTGGAGGTCTACAGCGCAGGTCTCCCTGCCTCATTTCCTTTGTTCCTCGTCTCTCTGCACGTGCACGAACGTGCATGAACATGCCTGCAGTGCCGTGCAAGGATGGAAATCTTTTCGAGGTAGTGTCCATCGAATGCTTTACTCGTTGTGTCCATAAACCTATCCTCTCGACTCGCCCTTTGTGTGGAATATGGGCCGGGAAGCGGAGACTGTGAAAGACCTTGAGATGTGAAGGTCACGTGGTCGAGGGAAGCGAATGTGTGTGCAGCGTTCGGACGCATTCACCTTGGTTTCTTTAACGAGTCATACGCGGAAGACGATCCACAATGAAGGACGGCCATGGTTGTCAATAGCTACGACAAAGACTTATCTTTTGCTGCCCTTTTCGCCAGCATCCTCACAACTTGCACAAGGCCTTTTTCCTGGTGTTAAGCAACCCCTATTGTGGCTTTTTTTTTTTAGTGCATTTGACTGCACTCAGTATTTCTTGTTCGGCCACATTACTTTGTAAAGTACTGAACTTGAACCTATGAATGCCAATGATATTCACTGTGAGGGAATGCGTAATTTTGCATGAATTGCAGGTGCTCTTCGTTCAAGGGGAAGTAGGTTTGGACTCGTTCGCCGAGGCGATGCGCACGAGGCACAACTTTTTGCGTCTCTGGGAAGTAACAACGTAGTGGCTGCATGAGCGTCTTCAGTAGTGAAAGATAAATAGGTGATCTCGGGTAAGGATGCAGCGAACCACGGGAGGAAACAGGATTGGACGTAACTTCCATGCTCCCATGCACGTGAGGGGGGATTTAAACGGAAAGGGAAAGTGTGAAGCGACAAGGGCAGCCATGGACTCGTTAGAGGTGTAGATCGTAATGGCCTGAAAGGTCCGCATTGCGAAAAATGAGTTGGGTAATGGTAACCGACGTTCTCTCGGACCTGTCGCGGAGGCCTCTACTGCTCATAAAAGCTCCACCCTACCCTTCTCTGGCACAAAATGGCGTCTGAGCTTGAGCTAGGTTGCTGTGACTTGCGTGAGCTGACTTCATCTCGTTCGCGCCTGTATCGCCATCTCCTAGCTTCTTCCAATCCGCTATATCTTTAGCAACTTTTCTGCATCAGAAACAGGAATAGCTTATTCCGTATCGAGGAAAGGTAGCTGAAATAGGATTTAAGTCAGATGCGAGGCAATATCGTTCGGGCCCTGATGAGAGGCCTAAAGCGAATTGTGGCGCCAGTGTTGGTTTAATTAGACGTAGGCTGTTATGGTGGATCAGTCTATAGTCATTTATGGGACGTTAATGTTAGAAATGACCCAGTCAACTTGAAATTGTTCGCTATAGGGCCTTAAAAAAATATAAGCCTTACTTCAAGATCCTAATTTAGGGCTTGTGTTAGAGCTTTAAATGCATTAATGTTACATCTTAACCCTATCTGAAACTTTCAGATCGTTTCACTCAATATGCCTTTTGTAATGATCCTCATACAACAGTTTCATTTTAGGTCAACAAAGCCCTAACATGTTCACATAACTAACATTTTGCTCTGACCTGATTTGATGCAGCCTCTTGGGCTAGGGTTAGGGGCATGTGCCCATTATTAATGGCCTAATATTAGAGAGGGGAATTCAAGAGGCTTTGGTGGACAATTTGCATTGCATAGTACAAATAAATTATGAATTGTGGGTGCAGCTAGGCATTTCTACTTTGGTAGCATGTTTATTGATGGCCATGATCAAGTTATCTATGATGATGGCAGGTGGCAAATACATAATGCATGTTGAATTAACATGCATTGAAATTGAAAACCTAAGGAACCAAGCCTTTAGGATTTCTAATCAATTTCATTTTGTGCTTGGAAGAATATTAGGTGTACTGGGGCCAGTTGCTGCTGGTTTAAGATGGAAACCCCAAGAGACAATCAAATGCCCACATTGTGTCGGTCTGGTTGTGGGTTTTATGGGACTTCATCGACCGAAGGTCTCTGCTCAAAGTGTTATAAAGATGCATTGAAAAAGAAGCAGACTGTACCAAGTGGAGGAAGGGCTAGTCCGCCTTCAGTTTCCAGCAGCAAGGGCACTCCTACCACCTCAAATGTGGCTGACCTCCTCTCTGCTAGTGTCGATACAGCCTCACCAACAGTGCCAGTCCTTCCCATCTCACTTCCCACCTTCTCTGGTCCAGATGCTCAGGTAAGTTGTGTCAAGCTGAGGGGTACCTGCCTTTATCAAGAGTTTTTTTGTTGTTGCTTTATTGTACTTTTTTATTCTGACAAAACTTGATCAAAATTCCCACTGCTTTAGCCAAGGTGCATACTATATGGATGAATAGTACAAGCTATATATCTCGGAGATGGCTATATAATAAATGTGCCCTTTATTTTTAGTGTCATATGGTTCTTCACGCAGTAGGATTAAAAGTAATGGAAATGCAAATGAAAAACATTCTTAAGAATGGAAAAGAAGCAAAGAAATTAGAAAAGGTTGAGAAGGCAAGAGGAGAGAGTTGGGTTAGAGAAGTAAAGATGAAACTTTTGGTAAGTATAATTTCTTGAATGCAAATCCTCTAGACCAGTGGTTCTCATCCTGGGGGTAGTTAGAGTGCATGAAAATTAAATCGGAGTAAAAGGATGTTTGAAAACCTGCTCTAGAGGGAGATAAAACCAGAGCAACAGCATAATCTGTTATCAAATGTAGGCAGTTATAATTGACTTATCAAATTTTCCAACATGTCAATGATCAACATAGATTGACCTAGATTATGTGGATATTGCATCTTTTGGGGCTTTGAATAGACCAAGTAGTATGCCAAATTTATGTTTAGTCTTAGAGATAATGTAAATGTCTGGAGGGAGCCTTAGGAACTGGATAGGCCTAGACAGGCAAGTCACATACAGGATGTCCACTGGGATTCACAAGATTTGAAACTAGTGGTAATTTTATATTTGTGCATATTAATGTTCAGCATGTGTATTGCTGTCTGCAGATTTTTTTAATCATAGGTTTTATTTGTAGCTGGAAGTTAATGGTAGCTATTGCTAAGCCTTCATTTATGGGGGTGGCAACCAGCATTTTCAAGATTTTGTAACAGCTCATTCATCCATTGAAAAGCATTTTCCTGCTAAAAACAGGCCAGAACATACATTCAATTTTTGCAGTTTTCCACCCAAGACAGGCAAAATGTTCCATAGATGTACTACAGTGATGCCACTAGCATGCCCTACTTGCTAAGGTTCCTGTACCTTGGATATTTTTTAAGCTAGATATTTCTAGGGCCAGTCAATTGAAAGCAGGATAACTTGGATTAAAAAAATCATATGAATGGCACATCTTGGAATTATACACCATTCTTTATAACACTGGAGAAACATTTATAATGTTTCTGGCATCACTGCTTTCAGAAGATTGCTTGCACTGTGGCCTGGCAAAGATGGTTTTCTACATTGACCTAGGAACATCAGAGAGCTGTGTTTCAGTTTTTGCATGCAGAATGCATGATACCATGTGATTTCCATCACAGAATGATTTTCACTTATAGAGAGGCATGTGTGTCTCAGAGAAGAGTATATGAATGCTGCAAAAAGCTTTATTTCTGATGCCATGATGTTGAGGACAACCCCTGGCCTAAATAGATGAATGTCATCATTGACATGAATGTTCCAAGGGTGGACAAGGTGCTCTAGAACAAATGAACACATGTCTCTGGATGCAATACCATCAGAAGTGGGGGATTTGCCATGGGTTTGTGCCCAATATTTTTCATTATTGCCTATAATACCATTTGGTGTGTACTAAATGGATACTGAAGTACCTGACCAAAGACCAGAAGAGTGTCTGCATGGGTTTTCATCTCACACTCCAGCACTGAATGGGACAGCTTTTTAGCCAAAATTGTGGCATATGGTGAAACCTGGTGTTATCATTTTGAACCTGAGTCAAAGTGTGCTAGCATGGATTGGTGGCATTTCCAATCTCCCTCACTGAAGAAATTCTGTGCAACTGCTTCACTGGGGAAAGTCTCGGTGACTGTTATTTGACTGTCATCAGTCATTTCTCCTAGATTTTCTGCTTCATGGGGAAATGGTCAACTCAAAGCAATACTGCAATATGATGTGCAATAAACTTGGTTGTGCCATGAAAAGTAAGTGCATTGGACTGTTGACAAAAAACATCATCCTTCTCCAATATGCAACCTCATACCACGAGTGCAAATGTGCCACCATTCAAAACCTTGATTAGGAGATCCTTGACCATCCTCCATAAAGTCCAGAACTGTCAGCATATAGTTTTTATATATTCAGCCCTATGAAAAGCATGTTGAGGGGCTGGTGATACTTTGGATGATGGCATGGTAAAGCAGTAGGAACATAGTGCCACCAGGTGCCAATATTGTTTCATGAAAGTGTCATAAAAAATTGGCTGAGTGATGGGACAAGTGACAATATGCCTATGAAGACTATTTTGAATAAGTGTTATATGCATAGCCAGTGAAAATGCAATTGCTGTTTTCATTTGACTGGCCCTTGTACTTGTACCCGGAGACATACTGAAGACATTTCAGAGCCCACAGGTTGCAATAACTGGAAAATCTAATTTTGCTAATTTAATTACACAAGATGTTCTCAAGGTGTCAACTTGACATTAGTTATAGATGTATTGACAGAAGATATGTTGCAATTAGCTGCCAACTGCAGGTGAACTCTGTGAGGTAAAAACTGAAGATTTCATTGCACATGATGCTGTAAGTTTCACTTCAATCCTAGCATATTTACCATAATTACAGCAGTTTCTAATTTTGTAGATTCTGGTGGACACCGTATATATTGAAATAGGTGTGACAGAATTTGTGGAAGGAGAAAGAATGAACAGCTTTTTTTCGCACTCATTCATGTTGCTAGCTTCATTAAGCAGCTACTACTGAAGTATCTGAAGGAAGAATACGGGAAAAAGTCTATTGCAACATCTATAATAATGTTATTTAATGAAGCTCTAAAAATATTCTCTATTGCAAGTATTGTTCACCATTCAGAAATATTTGACATTTTCTTAAAAACTCAGATGGTGAGTGCATCCTACCATATGTCACAAACCAGCATAAATATACTATCTTATCATGACATTCTTCTCTGTAAATATTTGACATCAAATAAGATAAGCCTATTTACTTTTCTTATGTGGTTCAATGGGCAGTATTTTTAATCCCTTCTTGTCATGCATATACATTCAATGCAATGTTCCCCATGGGCTTTGGAAATAGCAACTATTTTTTTAATGCTTGACTTTGAGGATTCTTGTTACTGTGAATGTTTGCCATTTGGCGTGGGGAGGAGGGCAACTGGGATGGGTTTTGGCAGTATTAAAGAGGTCAAATAGAGGCTGATATGCCTCAATTTTAACTGTTTCAATTTTATTTCCTGATGTGTTGTACTAATAAACAGTAGGATTTGGTAATTTCATTATTTCCTTGGAAAAGAAAAACCATAAAATGCTTTTATAATATTGGACATCTACCTAAAGGAGTTCACCTTTAAATCAGAATATGAAATTCCTTTTATGCAGAGCTCATTTGTTTCTAGTGTGACTTCTATTTTCAAAGCTAATGTAGCAGAAAGACTACCTTCTGTAATGTCATTTGAAGCAGGCAAAATGATGGACACTTGGAGCACTGGATAATTTTTATGAAGTAGGTTCCAGGTTTCTGTTTAGCAATGTCATCTATAATATCATCATGCCTCTTGAGTTCCAGGAGGCCTGAACATTTCCATATCAGAATTACATCACTAATTTGAGGGTTACTATTTTAAAGTAGCATATTGATGTGAATGATGCATGGGTGTGCAGGATGTTGCCATGATCAATGCCCATCAAAGTGAATGGTTATGATTGGTTGGTAGATGTTGGAACAGGATAGAATTGAAAGATTTGTCTCTATGGTACTGGTTGTTGCTTACTGGTAAAGCCTGAGATAAGCAGTTGCCACTTGCCATTGGTCAACTAAAACAACTGAAATAAAACTTTGATGACAAATTTATTTAACCAAGCCATTGCCTAACTAGTGGGGGGAAAAAATGGACCATTGAGAACTGTGAACAAACCTCTCATTGAATGATGAGTATTATGTGTTATACACCTACCTCATCTTTTGAATCACTTGATCCCTTGGGATTTTGTTAGGTTGTAGCAAGGGTGCATTGAAATAGCTGGCTGCTTAAGGAGAGTCCCATCACACCCATTTGTGTCTGAAATCTGTATAAAGATAATTTCTTGCACTTCATTGTGTATTGCTTTTTATTGATTTTTTTCAGCCAAAAAGAATTATATGGTTGTTGCACATATACAATGGCTAGCAATAAAGGTTTCACATATTTCTCTGATATATCTGAGAAATTCTGGCTGAGAATTCAGAATAGATTATATTTTACTGACTGTAATGCAAGATAGATTGTACTTCTTGTCAACTTTGCCTTCTGCATCCAATCCTTGCCATGGACTTGGCATTTCTCAATAATGTTGTAATAATTCACTGCTATTTTCCTACTGGTATATATTTCACTCCCTCATTTGTGAAGTGGATTTTCTAGTAGTATAATGTGCAAATGTGCATTACAACTCTTACAA